GGCCTAAGAGTTATGTGAAGTGATAACTGATGGTCGATGATTGATATTTCTAGAGGGAGGGGGCGTCTTCTCTATTCTATAAGCAAGTTTGGATTGCTTCATGATCTCCACTCCACTTAATTAAGAAACAAACTCTTCACTTTAGCCACTTGTCCTATTCACACATTTTGAGCAATATGACTTGGTCTCCTTTCATGAATCTTCATAATAATTATTATTGAAGTTGAGAAATTGAAGAAGAGAAAGGATATTGATAACAACCTTTCATTAATCAACAACGATAATTATAAAACATTTCTTCACATGGACGATTACAAAATTAATTAACTTACTTGAGTGATGAATCAATGCCATTTGAATACTAGCCAAGTTAATTTCCCTCTCAAGGTAGAATTTCAACCTCCTAATCTCTGAACACAATACAACACCCTTTATATAGAATTTAGGGTCAACAACTAACTAGTAAGATTAACACTAATCACACATTATATTTTAATATTCCAACACTGTATCCCCTCAAGTTGACACCTCAATAACTCTAGGCGTACAACTTGCCAAGACAACACAAGGATGAAACAACTTGTTGAAATATTTACCATACAACTTTAATCAACTAGATCACTCACAAATTTGGTCAACTAGACCAACATTTTCAACATACAAAACAACATCATCAACAACTTGAAGAAATCTCCAAACTTGCATTTCTTCTCTTGCTTGAACTCGTGGCATCATTTCAGTGATTATGCAAACCAGTCCTCGATCTCTTGTGACTTAAATTACTTCTTCTTTGATCAGTACCCGCCCCATACAAAGAAACTTTTCCATGTTTTGAAACGATGATAAGAAACTTGCTAGTTAACCCCATGACAAACATGTTCTTGCTTCATGATAAGTGGACTTTGGATTTTAGTCACCGGAACCCCTCCTCACAATTTCTTCAATTATTTGAGTAGAGTGAAGATCCAAATCAATAATAACAATCCATGAAAGCTGAAACTCTACATCATACCTCTGGAATATCTCAAGCAACTGTGCTGTATACCTGAAATAATCCCCATTGACATAGTAAAGTCAATTTACCTTTATTTTTAAGTCTCGAACCATCATTGCATTCTGCACCAAGTAGACTAGTCTAGAAGCTTGGTCAAAGAGCTCATGACTTAATAATGCACTTGCAGCCTCCACCATGGAAAGTGTGTACAACTATGAAAAGCTTACATAACAGTACAATGACACTTTCTACAATGCCGGTAGCTTGATGACAAAGAATACTTTTAGGATCCTTGTCTCTCCAAGGATAAGCACCGGCACGACAGAGAGCAGTGTAAAGAATCTTGACTCGAACCTCACCAGACTGCAGTTGGGCTGCCTTCAAGATTTCACTTGTTGCAAACTACACCAAAACTGATTTCTTGACCTGCTCTTACTTTGCGCTGCAGTCAAGATCACTGACTTCACCAATGAGTTGGCACACTTGACCGATCACACCCTTGCCACTGAACTCATCAACGATGTTCCCCCTTTCCGACAACCTTCTTCGCCAGAGAAGGAGAGGCAACAGCGACTTAGATCGATAAAGAGATCAAATGAACGCTCGCTCAATCGTGGCCGCCGAGGGTATCTAATGGAGTTTCGTCGACGGCAAGCGGTAAAATCAAATGGTGAGTGATTGTCCAACCCAAATTTTATGTGATGCTTGTTTTGGGCCAGTTGGGTCTTGAATCACTCATCCGATTCTCGAGGCAGTAATATCAAGAAAAGCTAATCGGAGAAGACATTTTAGTGGGCTACAAATCTTGGTTTCTTGGCCCAAATCTTGCAGATCATCCTTTGAACAGTCACGAGGCCCAAACAGCCTGCTCTTGATACCATGTTGAGAAATAAAAAAGGCAAAGAATATTGATGAAAACCTTCCATTAATCAATAACAATGATTATAAAACATTCTTTCACTTGAAAGATTATCAAACCAATCAACTCACCTAGGTGACAAACAAACCCCATTTGGGAAACTAACCATGAGTTGAGGATCAAGTTAACTTCCTTCTTGAGTTAGGATTTCAAGTTTCTAACTTCTAAATATGATATGTCACTCTTTATATAGAATTAAGGGTCCACTGTTAATTAATGTGATTAACACTAATCACACATCATGTCCCAATATTCCAACAATTGAGTGTAATATTTCCAAGGCACATACACAAATGTAGGTGATTCTACAATCAACTGCCTAAAATATCACTCCTATAGTTTTTGTTACAGGGCATTCTTATGAGGATTATTTAATCCTTAATATAAGCACCTTGAAAGTTATTTATTATTATTTTTTAATTTTATTTCCATTGTAAATTTAATTTTATGCATCATCATATATTGCGGATATATCTTTTCTAATTTTTAATAAGGATATATTTTTTTAAAATTATTTTAAAACGTATTTAATAAATTAACTGTGATGATTTAATTTCAATAAAGTAACCGAAAACAACTTATATAATGGATTGTACAGAGAGGAGGAAGAATATGGTAAAATCAATGTGCATGTAATTGTAAAAGAAACTAGACCTGCACTTTGTCTGCTGGGCTGAACCGGCGAAAACAGAAGAATGGGGGATTTTTTTTTTTTTTTTTGATAAACGGAATGGGGGGAGTTGGTAATGAAGGGTGGGGATTTCGGGGAGTGGGTCACCTTCAGAAGAAAACCTAAGCGACATGGGGTATCTTATTTCCACGCTCCGCCGTCACCATCAAATTCTCACTCACTTCCATTTAATTTCTGTCAACCCCCACCACCAGTCCACCACCTTAACTCCCACCAACAAATAACGTGGTATCTTCTGATTTCCCTCTCCCTCTCCGCCAAACTTTTGTCCCTTTCCCTCTTGTTAAACGCCCTCGATCTCCTCGCCTTCTGCGTTAAATAATATTGCTCATGTCTACTAAAGTGATATGGCACATTTTGTCATACTTCACCCTCCTTACTTACATTACAAAATCATCCTCATGATAACATATCTTTGCCCCAAAAAATAATCGCTTGTCCTTTACCACAAAAAGAAGTCAAATGTACCGCAATAAGCCAATAACCCCTTTCTTTAATTTCACACACTATATTTAACCTGAATTTTCTAACACTGTTGTCAAGCTATGATGTGCGTCAAGAGACATAAAATTCAGTTGGGGCTAACGTCCTATTGCGCGCGCGCCGATTCATGTCTGGGAGAATACCATTCCAATACAACTGCTCGTTCCTATACAAGCATTATTAATTGTTGATTAATATTATAAAATTTTTACATTGATAACTTGTTTTAATCTACGCTAATTTATTCGGTCCGCTTGATAAGTTTCTTACTTTGTATAGACATTGTTCATGTGTCTCCATGGACCATTTGTAAGCAAGACCAAAAAAAAAAAATTGTCTCATAATATAATGTCAGCCCGAAAGAAAAATCACGCCAACATATTTTACGTTTTATATTAAAAAAAAATCTGAATTTTTCTAGCCCTTCTGGAACTTTAAGCCTGTTTTCAAATATGCATAAATGCAATTCAAATGGGATTTTAGAACCGTGCGATATACAAAGACATTGATTCACATTGTTCAAAAGAAACAGAGGAGGGGAGAGTGGAGGTTAAATTTTATTAATTATTTTAAAAAGGACAATTAAAAATAACTATATTTTTTAATTTCTTTAGCGACTACTATTAATTATATTTTTTTATTTCCAGTACAATGTAAGAGTTTTTTAGTTATTAGAATATACAAATATAAATAATAATTTATCTTATTTTAACACTATTTATTCTAAATATTTGAGATATTTTTAATATAATATTTTCCTCAATAAAGTAGTTAATTTAAACTAATATGATGTTTTCATATTTACCATTCCTTAGTTATATTTATAAGACATTTCTAACTAGAGCCAATAACTCAAACAGGTCAGACTCAATTCGGATCGACTTATTTAGATCGAATTTAAATTACCTTGCCCTTTAAAAAAGTCTACATAGTCAAACTTGATCTTAACTATTTTTAGCCAAATTTAGACCAGCCCGTCGGGCTTACCCAAAATTACTTATAATATATCCATATAGAGTTAGTAATTCCAATGATTGGGGTCAATTCGAGTCGAACTTATTTAAATTGAATTTAAAATATCACACCCTTTTAAAAAAATTCATACAATTAAACCTGACCATAACTTTTTTTGGGCAAGTTTGGAATTAACTCAAATTACCTATTCTACTTTCAATATGTTTCATCAAAATCAGAAAAAATCTTAAAACTCATTAACTCTGTCAAAACAAAATTTAATAATTTCTTAATTTTATCACTATTAAATATATATAATTTAATAATATATTTCTCTCTCTAATATTTAATGGAGATTAAATGAGAAAATTTATGATAAAATTTTAATAAGGTAACTTATAAATAGGATAAAAATTTTCTTTCTCTACCATATAAACAAAACTAGAGAGAATATTTAATAAGATATTTTATTTTAAAATAAATATAAAATGCTTTATTTATTATAAGTATTTTAAGAAAAACATTAAAAAGCTACACGTTTTTAACATTTAACTTTTTAAAAACGTCCTACATTTTTAAATGAAAAAGTTCAACTTAAATTTTAAAAAACTAAAACATAAAATATAATTTCAATTTCAATTTATGTTATTAAAAATTATTTTTAAAAAGCAGATTTAATTTATAAAAAAATAATTGCGTCGGACGGTACAGTAAAATACTAAAATTGCAGCATCAATCCGACGCAAATTACAAAGGAAGGAGGTGTCAGAAAAAGAACGATAATTAATTTATAGAATATCAAAAATAATTTTTCCAAAAAAAATGCCCCTTTTAAAAATCGATGCCTTGAAAATGATCAACCATTACGAGAATAACACGTGTGTGTGACATCGTCCCCCTCGAGAATAACCCTTTATTTTTTTACCAAACATATCGGAGACTGTTTATGCCTCTCTCCTAACAAAGTCAAGCCAGCAAAGGGGCAAAATATACACTGACACTAACCCCTCACAACAAAGTTTCAATTCTTCTCTCCCTCCCGGACGCTCATTTCTTCCTCCACTTCATGGCCTAATTGATCCCGAATTCAATCTCGTTTCCGGGTTCCGCGACCTATCAGTATGTTCCCATCTTTCATCAGCATCGTCTCCGTATATGGCAGCTATCTCCGCCGCTGTTTCATCTCCGCCGGCCTCTCCTCTCAAAAGATCGATGTGGATGACCAGACCACCCTCCACTTCTGGGGCCCCAAAAAAGAAACCGCCCGCAAGAAGCCCTCCCTGGTTCTAATCCACGGGTTTGGGCCGATGGCCATCTGGCAATGGCGCCAACAAGTCCAATTCTTGGCCCCTCACTTCGACGTCTACGTCCCCGATCTCGTCTTCTTCGGTGCCTCCAAGACCAAATCCAGTGAGCGAAGCGAGGTTTTTCAGGCGGCCTCACTGGCGAAACTTCTTGACAAGTTAGACGTCAAGAGGTTCCATGTATTGGGGACCAGTTATGGCGGCTTCGTGGCCTACCATTTGGCCAAAATGTTAGGGGAAAGGGTAGAGAAAGTGGTGATTGCGAGCTCTGGCGTTAATATGAGAAAGAGCGACAACGCGGCTTTAATGGAAAGGGCTAAACTAGACAAGATCGAGGATCTCATGTTGCCCGCCACGCCCAAACAGTTACGCAATTTGATGGGCTTGTCCGTGTCCAAGCGTCTCAATATGTTGCCTTCTTTCTTCTTGAACGACCTCATAAACGTCAGTTTTCCTCTCTTCTTTCTTCTTTTCTCAGCTTTGATTATTTTTCAATGCATTTATAATATACTTCATTATTTTAATTTTCCCTGGCAAAAACAATTTGAGTGATCTTGCCTTAACTGACAAACAACACATATAGAATTATTAATTAGGTCAGCCCAACTATTTTAAGGTGTAAAATGATATTTTAATTTTAAAAGGAAAAGCGATAGCTTTTAAGTCCTTTTATAATTTTTTTTGAAATTTTAATATTAAAAAATTATATATTATACTAATTATAAAACTCTACCCTCAATTTTACAAAGATGAAGGCAAAATATATAAAAAACTTAATATTTTTGTCATTGATAAGACTCTATAATAAAAAGAATTAAATTATATTAACGTTGATAATAACAAAAATTATCAAGATTTAGTTAATGATGCTAATAAAATCTGATTATTATCTATGTTGATTTTGTGATGATGTTATTTTTTGTTAGACTTAAAATTGTTATTGTGTGTATTGACTTAAATTTATTTTTCTAAACTTGATGTTATGTGTAATAATTTTTTTAAAATTTTAAATACATATATTTTATATTTTTAAATTGAAAAATAAAAAAAATAGGACTAAGGCCTTGAGAACCATCAGGGCTGATTGAGCAAAATAGAGCCCTAAAATAAAATTGGGTTTAACCATGCCAATTCATTTAAACCCTGACCCTTTAAAGGTTAGTACTAACATGCCGGTCCTAATTGACAACTCTAAACATATCTAAGTAATGCTTATGAGTTTATTCAAGCAAAGCAGACATTGACTGTAGTGCTCACTGCTTAAGAGACGACTCTCATTGGACAGTCGACCAATTAATTATCAGAATGAAACTTTGGGAATATTCTGATGTGGATATGAAATTATTGAGAAAACATTATATGCTGTGCGAATTTCGCTCATTATGCATTTGGTGCAAGATTTGTGAAGCGTACTGTTGCAAGTATTCGACCTGTTTAATTAGATGAGCCCTCATTTAAGACCGATAAAGTGCTTAGGTGATGGGTAGGTATGAAGCACGTACTGGTAGGAAGATGTAATTTTCATGTTAATTATTTTATGAAGAGCCACACATGGACGCTTAATTAATTTAGACTTGTGGTTGCAGAACTTATATTCAGAAAATAGGAAGGAGAAGATGGAGCTTCTGAAAGGACTAACGCTCGGAAGGGATGATGCCGTGAACCTGTCACCTCTTCAACAGGTTGGTAAACCGTTTGCGCATTGCTCAAGTTAGCAATCATTAATTAATAATTTATCATGCAATTAAGGTTCCTCTCGTTATGCTTATATTATTATACACACACAATTGGTTTGATCTCACACACATGCATGCATATTCAGGAGGTTCTGATCATCTGGGGAGAACATGATCAGATATTTCCAGTAAAGATGGCCACTGAACTAAAGCAGTACGTGATCTGATTCCTTCATTTTTTTTTTCTCTTTATTTGTGCTTAGTTATTAATTAATAAGTAACCTTCTCGATAATTAACCCTTGCATGTCAAATAACTAATTACATTTGTGGATTTAGTACTATTTTAATTATAAGGTTGAGTCCAAATGGCCCTGGACATTTCATATTAAATACACAGCTGAATTTAATCTCTCAGGCAACTGGTCATTGGCTTCAAAAAATTGCAGGGTAATTGGTAAGAAAGCCAGATTGGAATTGATAAAGAACGCATCACATGTGCCTCAAATTGAGAAGGCAGGAGAATTCAACAAAATTGTCTTGGATTTTTTGCGCGCGGGGTCCTAATTAATGCATGCATGAATGTAAATTTTGTGACTTGCTATTTGCTACAGATATTGTGATGTATCTGAAGGAGATTTACTAAGAGCCGGTGTGCATATAATAATGATGATGATAAACAATCATGCCTCCTTTATAACCTGGTGATCATTTATATAACTACCTGCCCTCGCTTTTATTATGATCATGTCGTTGCTTTCTTTCTGTAAGGCCCGAAGTCTCTGCTAATTGTCATTTAAGCTGATCACGATTCGTCCTTCACATTTGTGCCTGATTATTGTAATCAGTCACATCATCCTCGATCACCAATCACTTCTTGGCATGCACAATTATATATTTTTCAATTAATTGATCAATTATAAGAGTGAGTCTTCATTCATAGCATGAGAGACTCTGAACATGTTTTTGAAAGCAAAAGAATAATGAAAACAGATTTTTTTTATATTCTTTCTTGTTTTTTAAAATAATAATGTTAAAATATTTAAAAAATATTTTTATTTTCGAGAATAATATATTTTAATTTTTGTTCTATAAAACACTTTTTTAAAAAAAGTTACTAAATAATTTTGTTTTTTACTATGGAGAATAAAAAATTGTCCCAAAAACAAGTTGCTAAACATGCTCTTCTCTTCCCTTTTTTTCCATTGTCTTTTCCTTTTTTAATTTCAAATAATTAGATCAAGATTATTGGACTGTCCAAATTTAATGTATCATAAAATATTTTATGTATTTTATTTTTATTGCTAATATTAAATTTTAATAGTTTGAATTTTATTTTTAATCCTTTTTATAATTTAAATTTTTAATAATTATTTTATAAAAAATAAACCTTAAAACATTTAAATTTTGATTCAACAATTAAAAAGCGAAAAGAATGGAAGAGGACGCGGTGGAAGTCAGGAAGATGAAAACATCCTCTTCCCTCTTTCTCGGGGAAGTGGGGTCTCTCCACTTCCTTTTTCTCCATTTCCCTCAACTTCCCCCATCCTCACCATTCATTAATTTTATCATTTAAAAAAATTGTTTAATAAAAAAATTTGAATGGTGGGGATGGAGGAAGTGGAGGGAAAGAGAGGGGAAAAAGTGGAGAGACCCCTGGTCCCTTTCTCGGTCCCATTGCTTCACTATGCATTTTGTGGGATATTCATTTTTTATTTGGCACCGACATTTTTTGAAGGTTAAAAAAAAAAGACGAAAAAAACGTTTCTTATCGTGGGATTGTATTTTTGAACGAGGAATCTGAATGGTTAAATTTCACTATCACTTTCCAGATTTATTCACTATTTTGTAGAGGGACGTGTAATTAATACTCACATTACATTTAGGGATATTCACAAAATGAGATAAGATTGAGATACTCTCATCCAGTATTTTGTCTTGAAAAAAAAAATTGAGATTAAATTTTAATCTCGTGTCTTATGTCTCGTCCCGTCTCGAAAGTCATCCCATTCTATTAGAAGTCAAAACGGGATCAGGACAAAATCGGGATGTCTTGCTATCCCGACAAATCAGGCAATATTGAAGAAAGATCTGGATAATAATATTTATTAAAATTTAAATTATATAATTTATTAAGTTTAAAATCAAAACAACACAAGTACATAAATCATAACAATTTAAAGTTAATTATTGAATTACATTAACCACAATTACACATTATAATAGCAAATACAAGTAATCTTTAGGCTATAAGATTAGCAATAATAGGCAAGTCAAGTATAACATCAAATCATTATTCTTCTACTTTAATGGAGATGTATTAAGCTAATTACTCTTCTGAAAATAAAACAAGAAATACATTATAAATAAAAGTTATTAAATAGATAAATATAAGAATAAATTATATTAATATAATTAATATATTATAAAGAAAGATATCGCCATGTTTACTTAATATCATTAAAATTATCAATATAAAAAAATTTTAGTTTTAAATAAGAATTGTAAGTATTAAAATTATAATTGATATAATTAATATAAGTATAAATTATCTTAATATAATTAATATATTTAAAATAAAAAAATAATATATATATATATATATAATGTTCAGATGGGACGGGATGTTCTGATGATAATTTTATATTCCATCTTGTTTCATAAAATCCCATCTCAATTATTTTTAAGTCGAAATAAAATTTATCTTAATATAATTGAAATGATGTCAGATAAATTGGGATGGATGAAGTTGAACACCCTTAGTTACGTCTGCTATTTTCGTTTCATTCCCTCCATCTGCGTTAAAAACGCAGAACAGTGATCGGATTTGGCTCTCCACTAACTTTTTTTCTCATTTCCTTTTGACTACCTAAAATAAAATTTAGAGCATTCAAATTTAATTTTAAATAGTTCAGATTTAGAATTATTTTTATTTTATACTCATTAAAATAAAAAATATTAGTAAATTCATTTTATCACCAAAGATATGTACCATTTAATTTAATATTAAATTTTTTTATAATTTTTACATGTTGGCATTCACTGTATACAATTCAATTTTAATATTAATTTTTTATATTTTTATAAATTATTATTTTAAAAAAATGATATTAAAAGTGAAGATAATCTCTCAACGACACTTTTCAAGAAAATATTTTTATAAAAAAATTATAAATTAAAAAATTTAAATTCAAACCATTCAAAGTAAATCCAGATAATTAATTTATAAAAGTTATATATATTTAATATTAAATTTTTAACCCTTCAAATTAAATATGGACTATTTTGATTGGAGATAAAATAAATTTATTAAAAAAATTTAGTAAATATAAAATAAATAATAAATAAATAATTTTGACCATTCAAATTTAATCACAATCTAGATTTTATTTTAAGTTAGCGGAGGGAAAATAGAAAGAAAGATTGACGAAGAGAAGCTAGTCCATAATTGTCACGACTCACGAGGGCCATGTATACTAGGATCTCATTATCGTTTTCTTGATAAAAGGTACTCCTACATTTTTTACATTATTATTCACAGGCATTTCAAAATGACAACATATCACCTGAAAGTAGGGTTACATAAAGGATTAATTCAATAAAACTTCAACCTAATTTAAAATCTAGCCCTATTTATAAAAAAAATTGAATTAAGTAACTCATGATTTAATTTAATTTTAATATAATTTGAAATCAAATAGGACCATATTAGTATAGTAGAATTATAAAATTAGTCTTGATCTTATCCAATATCTCACATTGTTTTTTTCTTTTTTTATCTATGAGAGGTATCAATTTATTTTAACATAATAAACTTAACTAACATAGTAAAATTACTATTAGTTATATAAAATTTATCACAACAGTAACAATTATAAATCCACAACAATATCTAACAATGATAAAAAGTTTTTAATTATAACACAAATGATTTAAATTAAATAACCTTCAATAATATTAGTCAACCTTAAATATGTCTAAAGCCTATTGTACTAAGTTAACAATAAATTTTACCAGTAAAAGGAAAAAATTAAGGTTAGTCAATGCTAAAACTTTACTCAATATTCATGATTTCACAAATATAAACACAAAAAACTATTAATTATTATTATTATAAATTAACTTATTGTAATAAAAATTAATGAATTAATTATAATTACATTAAATAAATTTATAGGATCGAATTAGATTAAATGGTCAAGGTACTCGGTCTTTTATCCAATCCAATTAAAAAAAAAGAGTCTAATCTTTTTTATCCTAAAAGATTAAATTTTATTTAGACCGATATGATCAAGTTTGTGTCAAGTTGAATCAAATTGAATTGGACTGAAAGATTTTTGCATATCTCTAAAAGTTAATAATTTTGCAAGATAAATCATTCATGTGTTTTTATGCACCGCTTATTGAGCTTGAATTAATGAGAATGAATCGCAACCTTAAATCAATGTCAAACAGTTAATGTCATTATTTTTTATTGTAAAAGATCAAAATTTTATTTCAACCAAGTTTTTACCTAATTTTAATTTTGAATGACTGACAACAATATTATTGACTTTGTGAGTTTAAATAAATTTATAATAAAATATAAACTTAAATTGAAAACTTAAATTATAAATTCTTAAGACCTCTATAAATAAATAGTCATTAAAAATTTATTATTAAATAATTAAAATATAAAATATGATCATAATTTAATTTAAATATATTTAAAATATAAATAATTAAAATTAATTATATTTACATTGATAAATCATCATACAAAAAATAAAAATTTTAAAATAGAAAAACTTATTTTTAATATTTTCTGTCTTCTTTTTCTATTAATATTAATTTTTGATTTTTAAGTTTTCTCTTTAAATCAGGTTTTATAACTTTTGTGACTAAATTCTTCATAATATATAGTTGAAAGTTTATGAGTAAATTATCATAATTTTATAAATTAAAAATGTAAAAACACTAAACTTTAAAAATTAATTCAAAAATTTAACAATTATGAATCACAACATCAATAAGTGATTGATAATATTAATTTTATTTTAAAAATATTTTATTAAAATATTAATAGTATAAGTATATATTAATAAAACATAATAATAATACTTTACAAGCTTACTTTTTTAAAACAAAATTATTAATTTTTAAAAATATCTCTATACACTTAATCATTATGTGACAACATCATTTCAATTCTTTTTTCATTTAAAGTGTAATATTAAAAAATATTTAATAAAATTTTATTTTTATTAAATTATCTTATAATTTGCAATAATTTTTTTAAAATTATTTTATAATTTAGGATGAAGTGAGTAATTATTTTTTTATTGTCCAAGATATTCTTATAGCCAGCAACTGTGAGATTAATTTCATGGAGTTTGAATATCATTTAAAAGGTTGTCTTCTTTTAAATGATGTTTTTACATACACATTTTTAAGTATTAAATCTTAGAATTATGTTTAAGGGTCCAAATTGTTTCCATATACGCTACATTCACTTGCTAGTGACTAATTGTTTTTGTTAACACACGCATCAGTGGGGAGGGCCAAGGGGGGCATAAAATTGGGGGTGAGTTTGGTTTCCCTTTTGTTTCCGTGAGAATTTTTTTTTTTTGGTTTGTTTTTACCAGCCTATTTCCGTGAGAATTTGGAAATGCAAATGGTCAGGCAAATTGCAAAACAAACGTGAAAATGGAGGACGGTGACAAATGGACGCCGCCAAGGCAACCGACGTTGGACGACCTGTCGTGAAAGGGAAGTTCGCAGATTCGCCTACCTGAGATCCTCGAGGACATAAACGTCATCTCCAGATTGTCCGAGGTGATTTTGTGTCACCAGCTGCCAGCGTGACCATTGAATCCTCCCGGTCTCCTTCTCTCTCTCTCTTCAAAAAACGCGGCTCACGAAAACTCGGAAAAAATGAAAACGAAAAGCTTTCCCTTTATATTTTGTTCCTTTTCCATTTCTGTCCAAAAGAAGCTTTTGAGTCCACAATGACGTGCTCCACGTTTGTGCTCAAAGCATATTCCATTTTATTTCTTTAACCAAACTTCACGTTCTCACACTTCACCGAAAAATCTGATTGATTCGCCTGCAATTCCTGGATCTAAACGGCCTCAAAGAAGTCTGTTTTGTTTCTGTTTTAGGTTCGTTTCGTTTGTCCCCCTTGCATGATTTTGCTTTGATGATCGGAGAAAAGCGGAAGTGAAGGAACAGAAGCTCCATTTCCTTCCCCCTTTTTTGAGCATTTGCCTTTCAATGTTTATTCGTTTGATCTGCTAGGACCTATATGAAATCCGATACTCTTTCTTAACTTTCCCATTCTTTTTCTTTTTTTCGCGCTTCTGGGAAAAAATTCGTTGCTTTAGCCTGGACTTGAAACGGAATCGGTGTTTAATTGATCAGCAAGAGGCTCGCATGGTAAACTTAGTTTGGTTCCATCTTGGAAATAATGAACTTTCAACTCGAAATGTCATTAATAATTGCTTTGCAGCAAATTCCTTGACTGCGTTGTATTTTACAAGTTACTATGGCAATATGTTGTTCGCACCAATGAAGAATTTGATATTTATTCATAATGGTCAGATAATTGTCTTTATAAAATCCCCATTACATTATTACATTGTTGTCAATATTTTTATTCTTGATGGTAAACGAAAGATCGTTTGTTTGGTTGCTTGAAGTTTGGACGTTAAAATTGGAACTGGGGCTACCAGCCCCAGTTCTAGAATCCGCAGTCTGTTCTTAAACATGAAATCAATTTTCGTCCTACGCTTTTATAAGCTTTGTGTCCTGTTTTGCCCTATTGATATGAAACGGATTTTGATAACCCTCTGCCGAAACTCAATGCAGGTTGTTGAGTAAAAGCATTATTTTGCTGCTAAACACCTTAAATCAGTTGGGGAGGTTTGAAGCTCCTACATTAGATATTAGACAAAGTAAAGATGAAGAGCGATTGGTTATCTTCCATGGGTTCTGATGGAGTTCATCCTGACATCTTTTCGTTGGAGCCATTTGTATTTCATAACCTTGGGTCTCATTTATTTTCACAGCTACATTCATTTGCGGACAATTCTATTTACCAGTCGAGAAACTTATATGTGCCGGGAAGTTTGGCTCTTCAAGAGGCATTTAATCGTATATCAGGAATTGCTGGTGCTTTTTTAGTTTGGTTCTGTAGTGGAACCAACTCAAAGATATCCCGGGATATAGCAGGTTCTCAATTTAGAAGTAGCGGGGCTTCTATGCAGGTCAAGCCTATGTCTTCTGTTGGACATAATCTAGTTGGGTTTCACTTCAGCTTTAGATCAGAAAGAAAATCTATTGCCCCCGTGGCCTTAGCCAAGATTTCTAGTTCTGCAATGAGGCTACTTTGGAGAGAAGTGAAAAGGCTTCAATCAAATCCTGTGCTGTCTCTAGCTGCAGTATTGGTACCACCAATTCAAAACTTGTAAGTCACACTAAAAGATATTTACTCAGCTTGAATCATTCTGGGCGTGGGAATTTTTTCTCGTTGTTTTACAATGATGAGCTTGTTTCCATGTTATTTACTGCAGATCATCAACGGTGCTGACCGGTCCACTTGAGAATACTGAGGTGTCAATGCATGGAGGCAAGGACCAAATCCCTTGTGAGGTTAAGAAAAAGGGATGTGCTCAACTATCTTTTCCTGAATTGAACCTGACGAAGCATGTGGTTGAGCCTAAAACTGGCATTGAGTTTCCCATGATCTTGAACAATGTAGTAGATGAAGAGCAGGATGTCAACTTAAACTCTGAGGTCAGTATTCAATTTTCAAATTTTTCTGGTTTTTTCTCCTCTTGCTTATCAATAGGTAATAGGATTAATTTGTGCCTTAATGCATTTGCTCGTGAAAATTATTTCATCTGGCTTTTGATATATTGTTTTCTTGAAAAAATACATAGCTAGTATGTAAGCTCAGAAATGTATAATTGACTGAAAATTAGCAAGGTAGTTAAAAATAACCTGCTGTATAGGAGGCTTTTTGTGTGAAAATCTTTAGTTTTTTCCTCTATTAAATTTTGTCTAGTAATCACGCAATATGAATTGTGATGGGTTAGACTGTGACTGGTTTTTTCTTTACCTCTCTTCTGGAGGTCCGTTTGATTGTCATTTGTTTCAATGACCTTTCCCAAATGCAGTCCTTGAGAGTTCATATCTTTACATCAACTAACATAAGCTTCTAAATTTGCTTCAGGTCCTGGTTGGAACTGGGTCCAGAACCATGACAATAGTTAAAATCAAGTCTTTAAAGATCTATGCATTTGGTTTTTGTAAGTTTTCTTGAATACTTGGTACTAATTGTTACATGGTAGTGTCAGCAAAATTATTGCCATATATTGAACCACTCTCATTCTTTAACAGATGTTCATCCTCACTCCCTCTGTGAGAAATTGGGTCCAAAATATGCATCATTTTCTGCTGGTGAGCTGAATAACTCCCATGGTTTCTACAAGGATCTTCTTAGGTATTGAAAATCATTTATGCTATCTGTATATTAAGTTTATCAACTTAGGAGGTTCCCTTTTTTTGGTGACGGTGATTGTAATTGATCATCATAAAGTACAAAGGGGCATTTTACAGACCAATCATGAGTCATCTAGCACATGCATCTGAGTTGCAAACTTATGTTGATTGATTTCATGGTTAAGATGTTGACTTTGCTGTGTGTGTTGGGCTTTTTATCACAGGGAGGATGTTGAAATGACTGTGAGGCTTGTCGTGAATTGCAAGGGGATGAAAATCAACACCGTGAAAGAGTTAGTAATTTTGTTTCACTTCTCAGCTGAGGATTTTTTTTTTAATTTTAAAAATAAGGAAATTCTTACTTGATTTTAGAGTCTGTTTTGCTAGTTAGATTGGGTTTTGAATTTTCCTCTAGGTTTTTAAGTTGTATTGTTGCATGATTATGACACTTCCAAATTATTTTGCACTATTTAAAAATTCTGTTGTTGGATTCTCGATTGATGAATATAGTCAACAATTAACTTTTCCCTTTTAGCATATCTGAACCTTGATGTTTAAATGTAATCTGGTTGTCATTGGATCAAGTATATCAATTTATGCAATTTTATATGGATGCAAACCTAGACGAAGGTGAATCAAGCAGGTCATTTCTCTTTTAAAGCATCCTCAATAGTACTTTAAAAGTCTTAGACATTGAGTCGATGGTGTAAGTGACGAACTGCTAATCTTTTTCTTTCTATTTTCTTTTTGCGGTTCATTGCAGAGCTTTTGAGAAATCCCTTCGAGCTCGCTTAGTTAAGGTAATTCACAGCCACTGGTAAAATAGTTTTTTGGTTGTTTCTCCACGGACTAATTCAAACTGTTCCCTTGGCTTCTTCTTTGCTTAGACAAATCCAAGTACAGATTTTTGTTGCCTGAGGAAATTTCGTTCATACTTCACACAAGATATTCCATTACCTTTGGTAAGCCATATACCAATCTGCATTCTTTCTTCTCTATTTTGAGGATCGCTTAGGGTTACTTTTGCTTTATTACAATGTTTCAGGGGACAACAATCAATTTTCGACGGACAGCTGATGGATGTCTGATTACTGAAAGTGAGCATGAGTACTAATTGGTCGAATTTATGAATTTTTTGACACTAAATTTATACTATTCTCTTAGGCCTTTGGTTTTCTTGACAAGAAATAGCGTAACAAAATTCTTTTTTTGCCTTCTTGTTTGTCTGTCCGTATTGTTTAGAGGCAGTTCTAACTTAAATTATTGACGTTTCACTGCTAAAGTGTTGGTTTTATGTACAGTTGGAGGGAATCACATTGGAAGTGTCCCCAGCAAAGATTTATGTCGTAAGTCATATTCAGATTTCGGGTTGAAATCTAAGACCATGTATTTAATATAACATTCCTTTGTCAAGTATTAAACCAAAGTAAGTTTTTATCATGTTTTGCAGGGGCCTTCTTTGACATGTACATTGGGGATGAACCTGTATCTGAGCAAACAAAAGAAGAGATTGGCAAGAACGTTGTTAATATCATTAGAAGGTGTTGAAATGGCTTCATTTTCGACCTCCAATTGTCTTGGTTTTTGGAATGGACAATTGGCAACCGGTGGCATATACCATCTGGTTGATGGCATGAGCAGTGGCTATTCGAATATGGAATTAGATCTGCCTTTAAAGTTTAGATCATGATTTGGGGTTACACTGGACGGTCATGGCTTATACTTTTCGAGGTTTGCCCCCTTCTTCAAATTTGATTGTCACTCAGTTATTCTTTTTTTAGATCAATTGAGGGTAAGAATTGTTTCCCCGCCCACATACTAGATGTATAATAATTTTATTGAAAGAAAAGAGGGTAGTGAATCACTAGTATCACTCGTTGTGCTTAGCTGAAAGCAATAGGCCGAGGTGATGGTGAGGCTCTGAACCGTTGATGGGACCTGGTTCATTGACTCTGATATGCAACATGCATCTGTTCTTTTTGATTACTATCTTGGTCTTGCCCACCTCTTTATACATGGAGGGGTTTAGCACTTCAGCAGCAGCAATGGAGTTCATAGGTATATGAATCCATGGCACTGATTTTTCAGTGAAATTGGATAAATATCGTAAAAGCAAATGAAATTTTTTATGGCATGACCATGGATGAGAATGGAATGGACGCAGCGAGGTGGAACATGAACAGCTTACCTGGGCGACCTCTTTTAGAAACAACTTGCAACTATTGAATAATTTTAGCTATTTCTCGGAGACTGTTTGCTAAGCGGTTTGAAGAAAATTAGGGAGTCTGTTGGCAATGGCATCTGTCAATGGTTTGGTAATTGATAGGCAGCAACGTGTGTGCACTCTCCAATTGGGCTTAAGTTATTACGAATTTAGGACCTGGGAGAATGATAATTAAGAGAATTAATGTAAATGTAAAACAAGGGTCAGTGTACAGTTGAAACTTCAAAATTTACCACTTAAACTACTGTATTTAATTGTCATTCTCCCCTTGGAATTTTGTTTGACATTCAAGGATCCTTTATTTAATTTAAAGGCAGATTTAAAGGACATGAATTTTATTGACGCATTTATTTGTGTAATTTGAGTTCTTTAAGAATGAATATTAAACTTCAAAATGAAATTTTAAAAATAAAATCAAAAGCCAAACAATTTTTGGATTCAACGTGAGTTTTAAGGACCGAGCCAGGTAGCCGGTTGGCGGTTTAAGCCATCCAAATTTCAGTTCGGCTCAAACCAAACACATCCAAAATGTGACTGCTGGGGATTGGGATGAAATGATGGAGGGGTGTTTAGAGTAATGGCAATAAATAAAGAAGTGAAGGGGGTGAGGGATACATTTTCCTAATGGGATCAGCATCCAAATCTTGGTGTGTCTAAACAAAGCAATCGTGTTACCCAGTAGGGGAATTGGACGCCCAACGCAATAAATATAGTGAAATTGATTGATTTAAAAAAAATAATCATTTAATCTTCATAATTTTAACTCAATTGTAATTTAATATCTCAACTTCAATTCATTATAACTCAATCTCTGAAATTTTAACTTGGTTGTAATTCAGTTTTTAAATTTTACCTTTGCAATTTAATCCCTAAAGTTTCAATCTTTTAAATATTGATTCCTATATTTTAAAAAATAAAATTATAAAGATTAAAAATATTTTAATATTTTAATATTTATAATATTTATAAAGATTAAAAGAGTTTAATAATTTAAAATATTAGTAATAAATTTTAAAATATTTTGAATTTTTGTAATTTTATTTTTAAAATATAGAGACTAATATTTAAAAGATTAAAACTTCAGGGACTAAGGCAAAGTATAGGGATTGATTTACAATTGAGTCAAAATTTCAAAGATTGAGTAGAAACTAAGTTGTAATTAAGTCAAAACTATAAAGACTAAATAATTAATTTTTTCTTGATTTAATGTTAGATTAGGTTTAGAGATGATCAGCGACAGCAACCCCAGGTAGGCATGGTAGGCTGGTAACTCATGCCTAATGGAGTAGTGTAACACACCAAAATTTTTGTTTTTTTTAAATAATTTAACTCAACCATAGTTGGGTTACAGCCACCCAACACATTTTTATATCAATAATTTCAATATAAAATATTTTATAATTAACATTTCAGATAAATTTTTACCTCCCACATACCATTAGGCTAAATCACATTTGTCCATCCTTATACTCCCAACAAGTAAACTAAATCACATTTGTCCATCCTTATACTCTCAACAAGTAAAATAAGCAATTTAATAAATTTTCAACATAAGCCAGTTATTTGGCCTTATAATCATGCCATTTTAACCAATCCAAAGTAAACCAAATATTAAAATTACAGTCATCCAAATTGTACTAAAAATAGAAATAGTTTGAAAGGCATGATTACATTTATATATTCATATAATTGACAATAAACAAAAAGCCCTATTATTGGCAATATAACACATTATAAATCATAAATTAAATATCCAAAAGAGACAGTGGATCTATACCACTAAGCCTCTGGGACTCCTCCACGTGTCACTTGTGGCTCTTCTCCTAAAAATTGTTAACCACATAATGAGACTCAAAAGTCTCAGTAACCAAAGCCAATTTATGATAGTATATACAAACAGTTAAGTGTGTACTTATTAAGTGAAAATTAAAAATAATATAATTCCAACAAATATAAGAAATATTACAATACACACAAACAACCATCCTTATATCCCTCCATTAACCTTGAGCCGTAGCCCTCACTCGGTGCTAAATTACCCGGCCAAAGGTAGATTAGCCCGAGCCCTTACAAGCCACCTATTGAGCTCCAATAGGGGCATACCACGTGGCACATAAATACAACAACAATAGTAAGTCTCCCAACACCTCCCACAATAATCAAACAAATTCATAATAATATTGCACAATTATACAATATTAAAAAAATTCATAATTTTCTCAATAATCACCCAATTAACATGAAGTAACACTAATCACAAATTAAAAGCATGGTTACCTTGTGGCTTTTTCAATAAATTATTCCTTAAAATTTCTCTCTCACCACAATCTTCACCAGTAATACAATCTACAAATAACATATTATTTATAAATATTAGTTTCAATTTTTGAAACTAATAAAATAATTCTAATAATAGAATTAAAAATATAACATAATTCCTAATCTCAATCTTAATACAAATCTATAGTTAATACTATTAAGTAAAATTTTTAACTCCTCTTTTAATTATCAATAAACATTAATAATCTAAAAATCAACTTCTAAACTAATTTCTATTATCAAAATTTTCTTTTTATTTTATAAATTCGCACCTAAAATACTCAAAAATTAAAAATTGAGTCTCTAGCTTAGAATCATAATCCTATAGCCATAATAATTCATTTCTCATCCCAAATAATCATCTAAACCTCAATAAATCAACATATATTTTCAGATCTAGTCTAGAATTTAATCCATAAGCCATAAATTCAAAGATCATTAACAAATTTATACTCTATAACATTTATTATACTACTGACAACCTCAAAAATCATATTTATTCAACATAAATTCATCCCTCTTCCAGATCTTAAATTTTCTACCACTACAAACTCAGAAACCAAAGAAAAAAGATGATTAAGAAAAAATTTTAGAACACTTACTTAGTCCTGAAAAGCTTAAAATCACACCCTAAATATCCTATTAAAAACTCTTACCTTAAAAATTTAGATATTTCGCACCGGTGACTCGCGTTCTCTCTGCCTCAACACGCACGAAGGAATGAATGAGGAAATGAAGGAAGGTGAGTTTTTATAAAAATTCAGTGGGTCCCACATAATTTTTTTATTCTTTTCTCTCTCTTCTTTCTCTCTTTCTTTATTATTATTTTACTATTGTTACTATTGAGGCGGCTGCACGTTTTCTTCCTTTCTCTTTTTTTTTGCAAACCTTTTTCCTCTTTTTTTTATTATTATTTTTTTATTTTTTATTTTTTTATTTTTAATTTATAATTATATCCTAAGTTAAATTTAATAATCATCTCCTACTAATTTATTTAGCTCTAAATATTTTTCAAAATTTTTATTATCCCAAATTAACTATTAAAATTTAAATTGGGATGTTACAAGTAGAGCTGTCAATTCGGCCCTTTTGAGCCCTGATAAGATTTAAAGCCGGGCTGCTCCATTAATTTATAAAATGATAAATTAAATTTAAAAGGATTAGCCTTTTTAACCTTAAAATAAAAGTATAGGTCCTTTTAAGCCCTTATATATATATATATATATATATATATTAATTTTAATATGAAAAAAATTAAATATCATCAAAAGTCTAAAACTTAGTTTTATTTCATTTGACTCTTAAGTGGGTTCTCATTCATTCTCTCTTTAATTGATCCTCTAGACTTCAATCCAAGGAGAAGAATCAAATTATATTAATGTTTATGATAATAATGCTAACAAAGTTTAATTATTATTGATGTTGATTCTATAATATTGCTATTTTTTATTAGACATAAATTTGTTATTCTATGGATTGTATTAAATTTATTTTGTTTAGACTTAATATTATATGTGATAATTTTTTTTGTGATTTTAAATATTTTTTTTAAATAAAAAAATAAAAAAATAGGATTGAGAGCCTGAGAGTCAAGGTCAGGCTGATCAAAATGAAGTTTCAAAGTGCAATCAAACTTAACAAAATTAATTCATTTAAGCCCTAATTTTTTAAGTTGGGTTGGCTTAATTATCACTCTAATTGAAGACTACCCACCACATGATGGATATGACGTGGGTTGCCTTCTCATCAACTGCTTTTTCCACGTGGGCCTGTCATTTTCTGTTCTCCTCTATGGGCCCCACCGGTATCTCCTACCCCTTTTCATTTTCTTCGAGCTTTTTCATGGAAACAAAAATTGGAAATAAAAAAAAAACAGAGAAATTTTTTTTCATTTTTTATGTTTCGACCGACCGGAATAAATAGATAAAAATGAGTACATATCAAAATGAATATAATACTTTTATATCAATATATATTTATATATATATATATATAATGCAACCATCTTTATAAAAAATATATTAAAACATAAATTATATTAAAATTAACATTACCAAAATAGTTTAAAATCAAATTAGTTGGTTAAAGATATATTTTCATGTTATTATATTTTAAAATCAAGTAATTTAATAAAATATATTATTTTTATTTAAAAAGATAAAAGCAAGTTATTTTTAAAAT